ATAATGCTTCATACACACACAGAGTATATTGTAAAAATACCCATCAAGATATTGTTACAGCATAGTGGCATCACCAGTCCCCGTATGATCGTTGAAGTTAAGCAATAGCATGGTCATTTAAAGATGTGGTGCCCCTCACACGGGATCGAAACCACGCCGCATCTCACGAATAAATTTCTTTTTATTATTTAGACAAAATATTTCATTATCCTCAATCTATTTCAATTAATAATGATTTTGCAATAAATTTTTCTAAATTTGTATTAAAATACAAAAAATGTCTCTTGGATGTCTTATATAACGTCTTCCGGATGTCCAATATGGCGTTCTATAAGAAGTCCAAAATCGGGATATTAGACGCCTTAAAGGCATCTTTAAGACGTCTTTATGTCAAATTAATAAGGCGTCCATAAACTTTTTTAAGTGTCTTTTAGACGTCTTTAAGACGTCTTAATGTTCTCTGGGTTTAATTGAGCACATTTATAAAATATTCTGAAAACTTTCCTTTTATTTTTACAATGAATAAATACTCATAAAGTTAACGTGATAAAATCACGTAGAAAGGTAAACTAAAAAGGAAGATTGCATGTCACGTTAATTTTACAGTTATTTATTAATTATTAGAACAAAAAGAAAACTTTCGGATTATTTTACAAATGAGTTCGAATGAATCGGTCTCAATGGTCATTTTTTCTATGAACATACTTTTTTATTTCAGCATATTTTACAAAAATTTTAAGCATATGTTTTCTAACGTTATCAATCAAAAATTCCGCAGAGATAGACCAATAGCCTTCGTAGCATATTTTAAAGTTATTGAAATTAGTGAGATCGGCCTTATTATGCATAATTATTTATAATTTTATCTGAGTTTCAAATTTTCTATTAATATGACGCATGAATGTATTGTATTATGATATGTACAATAAATTATTTCTCCCTCATTGTTGCATATGAAATAGTCACTCATTGCGATCGATTCACCTCGACTGGTTTTAAGAATATCGCGTCGGAATAAATCCGCTAATTTTTAAAATATAAGACAATATTCGTTGCACGGACTCACCGATCATAACTCGCGCTGGCACGGCATTCCATTCGAGCCAGAATGTGATGAAGGAGCTGGTTACCAGAATAATGCCGGGGATGAAAACTGTAGTGAAGTAGAAGGCGCGATCCCGCGTGAAGATCAGGTCCACCTTCAAGCAGCTGTAATTACCTAAGTCATGCACACGCATCTTCATTTTCCATGTTGGCGCAAAGATCGATGGGGATTCGTATTTTTGGAGAGAGAAAGAAGTTACTTTATAAATATCGATTTTTGTGAATAGACACAAATCACATTAATAGACATACATTTCGGATACTTTCAAATATTGAGCGTTACCCCTCTCTTATTTGCTATTTATATATCTATTTTATATATTATATTTTGCTTTACAATAATAATACATTTAGAAAGATATCGCTTATATGTGTGTATGGACGTAACATGGTACTTATTAGAATTAGATATATTAAGGTAATAAAAAATATGACATAATGTTTTTGTTGCGTAACTAATAACGAAGTTGTTCGAAGGCGTGTACTTTATTATACGAAGAGAAAGAAAAGAAGTAGAAAACAGCGTATATAATTATCTTCAATTTGTGGCGACCAAACTCCACGAAAGCATTTCAAGCTTAGCAAAATACTAATGTGAGGGTTTTAAAAAAAGATCTCAAAAGGCTGGCAGGCATAAAGGAACATCTACTATTGGGAGGAACATCAAACTAACGATTCTCTTACGAACAATCCTACATCTAATGCATTTTCTGTCATTTATTTTCGTTCGTCAATTTATTTTTTACATCGGAAAAACACAGGCATCTGTTCGATAATTACGACACGAGCAGTTCATGCCGATGACATTCGATATACATCGTTGTGTACACTGTCAAGTAATTTGAAGCTCCCGTCTTATTTGGATTTGCTCTAGGAATTAAGTTTAAGCGGAGTTCTCGTTTCGCGTTAGAAATATATCTATCTAAGAGAGCGGTTAGATAAAAGTTTCAGTGTGGAAACATTGCGCAAATAAAAGTATAAACGTATGAAGACAAAGCGAAGCTTTGCAACTAGCCAACGCAAATAATCACAAATAAAACACCGGTAAAAAAGTCATTTACTCCAATCTCACGACCCATGACCAATCGCGTCCAAACAAAATTCATATAGACTCTATAGCATTTTATTATATAAGCTCAATAATTAAGCATGGAAATCATAACAATAACAGAAGCTAAATGAAATATAATGATATATATTTTATAGAAAGAAAATTTCCCCTCTCTTTCCCTGCGTTTATTCTTCTCTCAAAGACCTGTGACGCAATGAAACAGGTATGGAAGAGTGAATTGCCGGCGCTTTAGCGTTTATAATGATTTAATTACAGATTTAACGACTTTTATACGTGGTAAGTACATCTACTTATTGTAGATGTTTACTTATTGTACCAGCTGTGCGGCATTTTGCACCGCAAATCAATACTATATGCGAAGCAACATTGAGTAATCTACTTGGGGCGTCTTGGCATCTCGAGTTTGGTAAGCTTGGTCCTGTCTCTCTCTCCCTCACTGCTCTTCTTCGAATAGCTTTATCAGACATATTAGATTCGCGTCGAACAGATAGAAGTAATTTACCTTGCTCCTCAAACCTGCGCTGGCACAGCGAGCACTTAGAGTCTCCAAATTCATCGAACTGGTCCTCGTAGTCGACCATGATCTGTCCATCAGCTGCAACAGAACAGCCCACGATCTTCCTATCTTTTTTCCGTTTTTCTTTCTCTTTGGTATTTTTCTATCTGCTTCTCTCGAAGAGAGGGATAGACTTCCATAAAACCCGAAAGTAATGCTTAGGCCGTATTGAGAACCAATCTGATGGTTTTCCTTTTGACGTGCGAATTTTACGAGTCATTTTCTAAAAGCCATCGCCGCTTTATCTTCGTGATATTACATTCTAAACGCGATTGCGACAAACTTTTTCTTTTCTCCCGTATATGACGAATAATAACATATATGTCAATGAATGAATGATACACCAAGGCAATCTTAGACCAAGGCAAGTTAGTCTGGAATAATGCAGTACGAGTTAAAATTGGTGTTGCGTGCAACGCAAGACTGAGTAATCGTATAAATGACAGAAGAAGTAAATGTCATAGAGAAATACACAAAATCGGCGAAAGTTTCTAGAACTGAGAAGCTAAGAGGCCAGAGATGATTTTGAATGTCATCTATATATGTTCCCTTCTGTGTTTTATCGAGAGTCGCTTCATCTACCCGGAAACCTTTAGCACGATGTAATAGCACGTTTTTCGTTGTGAACAAATCAAGCATACCCGCTTCCGCCATGGTTAAGTCCTTTAGGGCGAAACATATTAATTAATATATTATCTCACGATGAATTTACTCTCGGTTATTTTTTCTTTTTTTAATTTTTTTAATATTTGCACATTTCTTAATGTTTTTTTATAAATGTTCTTTCTACATTCGCATTTTTACAATCAAATATTTGTTACGTCTATGACAATTGAAAGATAGAAGTCTGTAATACGAGAAGCACGATAATGTTTAGTAAAATGAGAATAAACTGCTTTGATAGAAAGAAGTCTTTGTTAATTTGATGATTTTTCAGGTGTCAATATGAAAAAGTACGTAGCCAAAAAAATCGATAAATCTGACATGCTGCAAAGTTCCACGCCTCAAAGTCGAAAGCCTCTCGCCGCACCCGGACGATCAAGAAGCCATCTATAAAGTCCATTAGCTTGGCAGCAAAGTCAATCGTTTCTCTACACACACGTAAATCCTAATTTCTATCGTAGCAGAAGCCATCACGAACGAATAAAGTTCTTGTGTTACGGCGAAACACAACTCTATGTTTGTCACACGGCAAAGTAGCACGACGAGCTTCGCAGTTTCCTCGGATTCCTTCGCTGTAGTTGTCGATACCGCAGCAAACGGATCGATTGCAAGCGCGAGAAGGCGAAGGAAGGACGTCTTCGGGAATAAAGAACGCTCAATGATGAGTCATCGTAAGAAAGAAAGCCTCACCCCAAAAGCAAACCACGGCGGGCTCAGTTGAAAAGCGAGACAGGATCCAAGGTTGCCAATATGCATCTTCTAGGGCAATCTAGGGGTTCTATATATATGTTCGTATGTGTCATATACTTGTCAAAATATAATATAAATACTACACGACGTCAACTAACAAACGGGAAGAAACAGCATGAATATTCGATCATAACTACATCACATGCACAAGTGATTCTCTTGTGCGTCTATATGTATAGTTATAAATGTCTATGTGCTCGTGTATCGTTTTGTGCGCAGCACTTTCACAAATTTGTATATTTTCGACAGATCTATATATAAAAAAATACAAGAAAGAACACACACGTAAGAAAGAAGAGAAAGACTTTTTGAAAGGGTAAAAGGTAACGAGTGAACGTATCACTTAGACATTAATTTACGCTGTTAACATCTTTCTATCGTATAAAATCAAATAAAATTACTATGATGCATTTAACGACTCCGTACGTATATACATACCGGAAGTCACATAGTATCGTATGTAAATCTATCGTATATATAGATTAATAGATATATATAAATATCCACTCTTTCGAGATAAAGAAGTACACGTGATTATTAACGACGTGTCGACGTGAAAGTAAGATATCGCGCGAAAAAACATATTATAACCCCTGTAAAATGCTCTCTTTGCTGAAAAAAAAAAATCAAATAAAAACGCCAACTACGCTTTAATTTTGCTTAAAGTATTAGGAAATTAAGCGTGTCACGTATTCCACAAAAACAGAACGGTCAACATACGTTGCTACATAATTTCCATGCGTGCAAACTTACCTTTTAGGCATATCTCATTAAAATCAAGTGCTCCATAAAAATCACCAACGACATAAATCGTTCCCGAATAAGTGAGATTAAAGTAGATAACAAAAACAATAACAACGATGAAATTAAGATCACATTTGAGTTTTGGATTCGTTGTCAAAGGATACTTATCAAAATCGATGTTTTAAGGATTATCTGAAGTGAAAGTTGAAAAGTAAATTTCATACACACGGATGGTATCTCAAGACAAAATTGCCATTTCCGCTTGCCGATTATTTACGTTTGCCGATAAAAAACAAATGAAATTAAGGATGCTTTTTGGCAATGACCTCGTCAAATTTATTAATCGCAAGGTAACGCGTCGCCAATAGAAACATATATTAAATGCAAAAATTCAAAGGATGCACGTGCTTTGATTTAATTACTAAAGACCGTATAAATAATTAATAGTCTTTATTTTTAATATTAATAGACTTTTATTATTAATATATTTTTTAATATCAATAGACTTTATTTGAAATTTGTCTTATGTGATATTTTGTGTAATGCATTTTATAAAACATTTATAACAAAAACTATTCAGGTCTGAGTTTAAAGATCAAGTTATAGATCAAGTTATATTAGATAAACTTATGTTAGAGTTTTTCATTTGTATTGTGTGATATTCGTTACATTATGTTTGTAATCGTTATTTAACTAAAAAATTTCTCTGACTCGAAAGCCCGTATTAATTTTAAAACTGTAAACATTAAAAAATTGAATCCTAAATATAGATAAATTTGGTAATTGTTTACATTAGAAGAGTCACCTTCGATGAGTTCCTTCTTGATATATATTATCAAGATATTATCTCTAAATAACATTCAAAAGATTTTATGCATCGCTCATTGATTAAAAAGTTATTAAAATATTTTTTTATAAATAAAGCGTAATTTTTGCACACAATGTATATGGAAATATGATAAACAGTATATGCCTTTCCCTCGCATATACGTGTACTGTTTTCCATATACACTGTGTGCAAAAATTATATTATATTATATAAATTTATAAAAAATTTTTTTAAATAACTTTTTAACAAACAATGAGCGATACATAAAACCTTCGAAATGTTACTCAGAGAAATATCTTTGATATTATATGTTAAAGAGGAATTCACCAGAGGTGGCTCCTCTAATGTAAACAATTACTATAAATTTTATCCAAAGTCTTTTCTTTTACTCATAATTCCCGAATAAATTAGCGAAATTTAAAGTATCAAGGTAAAAATTATCAAGTAGTATGATGCTATTAATTTGTAATTCAATAAAGTTGAAGAAAGTTAATAAAAAACAAAATATATGTTTTTAATAATAACGTTATAATAAAAAACAAAATATATGTTTTTAATAATGACGTTTGGAAAGTTGTTCCTTGGTAAAAAAATTGATAGAGAATGATAGAATAAAATTCGGGTGTAGTCCGAAAAGTACTCACCTCCGATTATTTTTAAACAGAATATTCTTACGTATTTTGACGCTCTGATTACGAATATCATAGTGAAAATTGGCGACTACTTGATTTTCATAGTAAAAACCATAAAATTATAGTTTTTTATGTTTATCTCAGTAAATATGAAAAATCATGACAAATATTTTAGACAAAAGCTTTAGATCTCACAGAGATAAACATTTTAGGTTCTATATATTTTCACCGTACGAATAATAATTTTCGAGGAAATGCAGTATAAAGACAGTAACCGCGTTAACGTCTATCGTCGTTATGGTTAAAAAGTGTTTAACTTTTTTTCTTAATAACTTTTTAATAAACAATGACCGACAGCTAATGTGACAATAGGTAGGGTTAGGTTAGTTTGGGGAGGGGTGCGAGGGGCGCAGCCCCCCACTAATCGTTCGATATTTTTCCCGTGTTGCAAAATGTTAAAAATGTTAAAAATGTTCTTAAAAAAAATTGTTAGAGTTCTTTCATAACTGTAAGTCCTTTTTCCTTTATTTCTTTTCGCCACGATTCGGGGGAAATATACTGTCTACATGGCGAAATAACCCGCAAAAGGGATTCGCAGAAATCGAGTCTAAAAATCGTAACAACTCTGTTACGGTCTTTATACTCGATTTCCTCGAAAACTATTATTCGTACAGTGAAAATATATAGGGCCTAAAATGTTTATCTCAGTGAGATCTAAAACTTTTGTTTAAAACATTTATCATGATTTTCCGTATTTACTAAGATAAACGTAAAAAACCATAATTTTTATGGCTTTTTTATGGTTTTCACCATAAAAATCAAGTAATCGCCAATTTTCACTATGATATTCGTAATCAGCGCTACAATATACGTAGAAATACTGAGCTTAAAAAAAATCAGGGGTGAGTATTTTTCGGAACTTTATCCATCAACTTTTTTCACTAGGATTGTAGATAAATTTTATCTATGTTTAGGGTTCTAAGATTAATTATTGTTTTCCTCTAAATAGAAATGCGTGATGGTTACGTTTCATCACAATGTAAAAGATAGTAATATTATAATTTCAACTTAATACTTCTTTAAAAATCATTATGTAATTAACATAATATGAGCACAAGATGTACATAAATGATGTAAAAGTATGTTTATATGTTCTTGACTGATATTGATTGATAATGAAGATTACATGTAATCTACAAGTGATGTAGAAATGTCTAATTAAATTGTCGCAGAAATATCTAAAAGCCTTTGTTTAAGAAACTACTATTATAATTGTATAAAATATATAAAAATAATTGAACGTTCTACTTAAAACTTCTATAATAAGAGGGTTATGATTCATTGGATTAATGACTATTTTTATTGTTCTAAATATATCTATTTTTATTGTTCTAAATATATCTATTTTTATTGTTCTAAAT